TGGGTACGCCAGGGCCAATTTTTTTTTTTTTTTTTTCTGCCCTTGCAGATCAGCAATTATTATTATTATTATTTTAATTTTTTTTTGTGCCCTTGCAGATCAGTAATTTTGATATTTCTCTGCTATCATGTCTGTCTGTATGAATTGTATAAGCATATCATCAAATGATTTTGATGTTTTTAAAAAGCAATTTGAACCAAAAAAAAATAACAAGGCCTATAAAGGGTAGTTTTGTGTATGACTATGCATTATGCTTTTGCTTCAGATCCTCCTAGAATTTCTTTATAAAATCTTTAATCATAACAAACTTTTAAAGTTTATGTACAAAACATTAAAAATTGATACTGTATTAGTTGATTAGTAGTAATTGGGAGTGATGCAATTTTATGTATTATACAAATTGCAATTGACAACCTGCCCCAATTGAGATTTTTTTTTCCGTTACTATTGGCAATTAACTTTAAATCTTTCTTTGGTTTCCTGTTATTTTTTTGGTCTCACCCTATAAAAATAGCAAATTGATGAGCAAAAAGAAAGATTTTAAAAATAAATTATGATCACAAATTCACAGTGCATAACATGTCAAAGTGAGAGATTTCACAAATATTATTTTTAACGCTTAATGATTTTAAATTATAGGAAAATGAGTAGTTTTTTTTTTAGTTTTGATATTTAAAAAAAAAATATCGGCGTACCGCAGCCGCAGCCGTACCCGTATCGTACTTTTTTTTTGAATTTTTCCGAATCGGCGTACCCGCACTCATACCCGTACCCGCACCCGTGCTTCCTTGGTAAAAACATACAGAAAACAAAGAAATCAAAGAGAACAAAAAACTGTGGATTCTTAGTTACATACAGAAATCAAAGAAAAAACATGCACTGGGGATTATTTTTTTTTACTTACATTTAAAAATAAAACAAACAATAGAAAACAAAGATGAAATCAGAAAAAAAATAAAAATAAAAATAAAAACAGAAAATAGAAAACAGAAAACAGAAAAAAAAAGGATAAAAATAAAATGAAAATAGAATAAAAATAAAAATAAAAATAAAAACAAAAAAAATAATAAAATCTCTTACTTACATTTACCGAATCCATTGTAGATGACATGAACAATCGATTTGAGATTAAATCCACCGATCTGAGATGAAATCACAGCAATGTATTGTGCATGTTTTTTCTTTGAGATTAAACCCATTTCAGAGTGTTAGAGAGAGAAAGAGAGAGAGAGAGAGAGAGGAGCTCACCGAGAGAGAGAGAGCCAACAGCTATAGCTACCGATCTGATCTGAGATGGATTATCTGGGAACAAAGGAACAAAAATAGTGTCACCGAGAGAGAGAGAGAGAGAAAAGAGAGAGAGAGCTCACCAAGAGAGAGAGTCGAGCAGCACACTGATCTAATCTGAGATGGATAAGAGTGTGAGAGAGAACTCAGTCTGCGATGAGAAAGAGAAGAGAGAGAGAGCCACCATCGACAGAGAGATGAGATGAGAGTGAGAGACAATGAACTAAATGAGGTGTGAATTAGGTTACATTTTAATTTTTATATGAGACAAGAAATTATATTGTGTGGGAAGGTATATAGTATGAATATAGATTATTTCTAGATGGTCCGGATCGATTCCAATCCGGAACCGTGGGGTTCTATCCGGAACCTATCCATGGCCTTCAGATTTTGAAATTTCCAATCCGGAACCGAACCATGGATTCAAAAAACAAATCCAATCCGATAATCGGATTACGGATTTTACGGATTCCTTGCTCAGCCCTCTCCCACCACTTGGCGTTATAGAAATTATATTTCCACTCTTGTGGTTAATAATCTCATTTTACAAAACCCCTATTTATATAAAAAGTAACAATTCTTGATAGAAAAGTAGAAAAAATTACATTGAAAAAAAAAAATAAAGCAAAGGAGGAGAAAAAAAAAGAAGAGAGAAACAAAGCAAGAAAAAAAAAAAGAGTATATGAATTTAATATCTTTTTTGTACAAACATTAACTTTGTCAAAATAATTACAATAATAGGGAGTCGGTGTAATTTTTTAAACATCAGGAGGTGATAAATATTAAATTCAAATCTCAATAGGTGTAAACGTAATTTATTCAAAAATTAAACTAAAAATCCCAAATAAATAAAGTAAGCACAATCCAAAAGAAAACGCCTCCATTATTCTTGTATCTTTAAATGAATTTCAACAATCAAATAACTTTAACAACCATTGTATGTTGAATTGTGAATAAGAAAAACAAGTTGAGAGAGAGAGAGAGAGAGAGAGAGAGTTTTTACATTTGATTCTATCTACTGGGGAGTAGGAACTCAGAATATTTCCCCGAGGCCGGTGCCGTTGACAACGATCACACAAAAATGACAGATTCCAACAATGAGCGAGGGATAGTTCCGGAGTGAGAGATAAGTGCAAGATAGTTATATTGATTGGGTCTTTAAAGACCTTTTTTTTTTATTTTTTATTTTTAGGATAATCAATATACTGATTTTTGTTTATATTATTTTAAAATTTTCGCTTCACATAATTCTATAATGGTTGAAGGACCCTAACAATTTTTAGTGTATAAAGTCCTTCACAATAGTCAATTTTTATATTTCCTGTTATCATATCTATGATGGCTGTGCTTTGACACTATCACTTGTAACAAGTCCCGACGAATTTTTTGCCGAACTAACTCATAAGCACGAATCAATCATTGCGCACGTCTCACACATAAATTTCATTCTCTTTAGATAATTCAAAAAATCGACAAGTGGATTGGTTTTATCTCTATATCATATTTCATGAGTGCTCTAGAGTCACCCTTAGACTCATAAGAAGCGGTCCACCTTATAGCGTCTCTGGTTTAGACCCAACCCATGGTATGTTTTGGATTCGGGTTTCATTGTCTTGTGTAGTTATTCATGTCTTGTTTCTCCTTTTACCTCTTTGAGTTTGGCTTTTGGATTGTGTTGGTTGTGTTAGGAACAGGTTAGTAGTTTGTTTTTCAAACTGTTGTTGCCCAACATTTTGGTCTTACGCTTAAGCGTAACTTCTTGCACTCAAGCGATTTTTGTGAACCCTCAGTACTTTTGCTGGTCTGCAAAACTACTGAGAATTGGTATTCTTTGATCAAGTTAAGCTTCTTGCGCTCGAGCGATCTTGGCTCGAGCGGCCCTTATTGCGCTTGAGCGTTTGCCTTCTGTCTATAAAACTACTAGGAGTTTGTATTTCACGCTCGAACAACAAACTTTTTGTGCTCGAGCTGTCACATCTTTTGCTCACACAGGTTCTTGCAAAAACTTTATGTTCGTTCCCTATGTTCTCTGTTCTCATCCAGGAAAAAGTTATCTTGTTCAAGGTTGATCTAATATTTGCGTTGCAATCAATACATCTACTCAATTGTTCTATGAAATAGTTAGTGGGGACAGTAACTTTTGTTTACTGTTGTAAACTTACTATTTTTGTTCTTTTTTCCCCTTGAACTCAAAATATAATAATTAATACATATCTATGAGTACCAAAATTTATCTAGTGGATCAAGAATTCCAACGCTGCTGCGTGCCCATTCAATTGCATGCAACTCACTTTATCCATCCCCACCCAGATAAAGGTGGGATTTAAAGGCAAACTAACTAGTATTAACAACTCAACCAGCTAAACTAGCTTTGTGCCTTAATCATTCCACAGATGCTATTGTAGATATCAATCAATTGTTCATCTTGCACTTGAATTGATTCCATTTGCAATTCCATGTTTAGATAAATGTCACCAACACTACTAATAACCCAAGAATAAGTCTTAAGATCATTCAACATTCATCCATTCAGTCCTGAGAACTGCCCGTGGAGATTTACATGTCAATTAGCAAAAGGAAAACTAAAGCTCTTCTTCAAAATAGTCGGAACTGAATTAGCAAACAAAATTCATTCATACAAGGAGAATGTAAATCAAACTGTTACTCAAGAGTCAAGATTAGAACATAAGGTAAGAACAAAAGGGACTCAAATCATGTCATTTCCAAGTCATACAACGTTCTTCAAGTCTCAATTAATTGTTTGTCTGATGAATTATAGACTTAATATTGTGGCTCCTCTTTAGGCAGTGTCAGAAAATATAATGATCATTCCATAAATAAATTAAAAAAATGATGTAAACAATATACTGCAAATGAAATCATCATTCATCATTATAAGTGAACGATCATTCTGTAGAAAGATTAATGAATGAGCATTCTATATTTATTCCAGTAAACCAAAAACTATCTACTCTTCACAATGATTTCCACTAGCCTTTTAAGAACAAAGCTATGTTAAAAGAAAGTGATCTACATCTGGTTCTCAAACAGGAAGCTTACAGTCTTTTCTCGATTACCAGCTCTTTCAAGGGCTACATCCTAGAGGAAAGACATTATTGATAAAATCAGTTGGTTCTAATCCAATCTATCTTGTTACGATGCTGTGTCGAGACAAGTTCATTCTTGCTATCTTGGTGACTAGAAATCCTAAGACCAAAATGCTATCCCATAAGAGTTCATGTTGCTGCTTTGGGTCCGGTGCTGCTATATCCTGCCAAATATCAAAGCCACTCCGCTACTTTGGGGTACATGGAATAGCTACGGTAGAGCAGTTTAATTTGACATGTGCTTGAGCCTCTTGGAAACTTTAGAACATTTGCCTTTATTTTTTTATTCCTAGTCCGAGATGTAATAGTCAGCTTCTTCAAAACCATTGCATTCCCCAAAAGATACCTTACCAGCTTCATTTCCCCCTTACACCCTGCAAATCCACTAAATTCAATTGCCTCCACGCAGAATGACAGACATTTGGGCACACTCTCTGGTTCCCCACTCCACAAACACAACTCGCCGACCTTGCAATCCAAATAACAATCACAAAAAACACATCAAACATACCAGTAAATATATAATAATAAAAACTGAAATGATCTCTAACAAATGAACTCACCATGAACTCGTTGAAAACTAAAACTTTCAAATTAGGCATGTGGCCAAGCAAGTCAAGCAAAATTGACCAATGAATATCGCAAATTTGCAAGCGCAAATGGGTCAAATTATGAAACAACAGTGTATTGTAGTCAAAAGCTTCAGTGACAACCTGAAAAAGATTTTATTATTATTATTTTTTTAAGTGAGAATTTAAACTCAACTTAAAAAGAGTATTAATAAACTTATGACCATAATAACATTAAACTGCTAATTACCTTGGGGATGCCATTGCTTAATTCCAAATGCTGCACATTAGAAATCTTTCCAAGCATCCCAACTACACCATTATAGTAATCCTCACTTCTACGATTCTCAAAATAAAATTTAAAATTTGCTTTAACTAAGGAGGGGAGTTCATCCACGTTAAAAACACTGGACACAAAATCATTAAGCTGAAAGATTTCGAGAACTGGGGCTTTAATCACGACACTAGGTTGGAGACGTGTTACACAGAAGCTGTTATACATACATAATTTCTTCAGGGTAGATGAGCAAATGCATAATGTCTTTATGTTATCGCCCTGATTAGTCCTCTGTATGTCCAATTCTTCAAGGACTGGGCAGCCAGAGAGGATGTTTTGGAAAGAATCATCATCCAGAAACGTCAATGAATGAAGATGGAGGACCTTGAGACTTGGCAAAAAAAACTGGCATAGGAAACCGAAAAAAGACATCACCAGCTAACTTCGAAACCACAAGATTAACAGAGGTAAATAGGCTTCGAGGCAACTCAACAACAAGCTGATCAATTTTGAAATTAAGAACAAGCTCTTTCACATTAAGCTTGATTACGGTACAAATTCATGAATTAAGACGATACGGATTATAGTACCCAAATCGACATTGAAGGCGAAACTTATTTAAATTTGGGGAATTGCGGAGAAGCAGAAGTCTGTCTACAAAATCAATGAAGCCAGAACTTTGCTCGTTGTGGCCTCTCTCACTAAAACTGTCTAAGTCAATAATGTGGACTGAAGTCCAAACGGATTTCCATCTAGTAGATAATAAGCTGGTTCGGGCAGCATATTTCGTGGGCATAAAACACAATATATGAGAAAGAATTTCGTCTGGCAAATTGCTGATCCGATCTTTTTCTTTAGAATCACTGAGTTTTGAGGATTGATCCATCGTTAAAGCCACTGGTAAGTGAATCGAAAAAACCAGAGTGAAGATTTCGCTAGGGTTTCATTGATTTAGCTAAAAATTATTGCAGAAAAATGAATAGTAAAAATAGCAAAATAAAATTAAAAATACAACAATGGGATATATGAACTACGCAAATTTCGCTGCCAAAAAATTAAAAATCTCAACTCAGTAAAGTTAAAAAAAGAGGGATAAACCTTGCAGCAGCACTCTGTTTGTTCAAATATAGGCCTCGTTTGGGAAGTGTCTATTTTAGTAGGCTATTTGGTTTTTTGGTTATTTTAATGGCTATTTTAGTTTTTGTGTTTGGGAAGATGAGATAATTTTTTAGTTGAGTTATTATATTAAAAAATGTGTTGAAATGATGTTTAAATTTAAAATGACAGATTTATCCCTAACTTTTTATTTTTTAAAATGAATATAAAGGGGCAAAATGGTAATTTGGCCTTGCTGTCACACTGTGCGGCAGTGACAGTGTAGGCTGTGCCTACACTGTCCCGTCCAGCAGCCTTCTTTTTTTTTTTTTTTTTTTTTTTTTTTTGTGAAAATAAAAAAAAAAGGGCTCCACTACTTTGGGGTACATGGAATAGCTACGGTAGAGCAGTTTAATTTGACATGTGCTTGAGCCTCTTGGAAACTTTAGAACATTTGCCTTTATTTTTTTATTCCTAGTCCGAGATGTAATAGTCAGCTTCTTCAAAACCATTGCATTCCCCAAAAGATACCTTACCAGCTTCATTTCCCCCTTACACCCTGCAAATCCACTAAATTCAATTGCCTCCACGCAGAGTGACAGACATTTGGGCACACTCTCTGGTTCCCCACTCCACAAACACAACTCCAAGTTCTTGTGACCCTAAAAATAATCACAATAAAAGCATCAAATATACCAGTAAATATATAATAATAAAAACTGAAATGATCTCTAACAAATGAACTCACCTTGTTCTTGTTGAAAACTAAAACTTTCAAATTAGGCATGTGGCCAAGCAAGTCAAGCAAAATTGACCAATGAATATCGCAAATTTGCAAGCGCAAATGGGTCAAATTATGAAACAACAGTGTATTGTAGTCAAAAGCTTCAGTGACAACCTGAAAAAGATTTTATTATTATTATTTTTTTAAGTGAGAATTTAAACTCAACTTAAAAGAGTATTAATAAACTTATGACCATAATAACATTAAACTGCTAATCACCTTGGGGATGCCATTGCTTAATTCCAAATGCTGCACATTAGAAATCTTTCCAAGCATCCCAACTACACCATTTTAGTAATCCTCACTTCTACGATTCTCAAAATAAAATGTAAAATTTGCTTTAACTAAGGAGGGGAGTTCATCCACATTAAAAACACTGGACACAAAATCATTAAGCTGAAAGATTTCGAGAACTGGGGCTTTAATCACGACACTAGGTTGGAGACGTGTTACACAGAAGCTGTTATACATACATAATTTCTTCAGGGTAGATGAGCAAATGCATAATGTCTTTATGTTATCGCCCTGATTAGTCCTCTGTATGTCCAATTCTTCAAGGACTGGGCAGCCAGAGAGGATGTTTTGGAAAGAATCATCATCCAGAAACGTCAATGAATGAAGATGGAGGACCATGAGACTTGGCAAAAAAAACTGGCATAGGAAACCGAAAAAAGACATCACCAGCTAACTTCAAAACCACAAGATTGACAGAGGTAAATAGGCTTCGAGGCAACTCAACAACAAGCTGATCAATTTCGAAATTAAGAACAAGCTCTTTCACATTAAGCTTGATTACGGTACAAATCCATGAATTAAGACGATACGGATTATAGTACCCAAATCGACATTGAAGGCGAAACTTATTTAAATTCGGGGAATTGCGGAGAAGCAGAAGTCTGTCTACAAAATCAATGAAGCCAGAACTTTGCTCGTTACTGTATAAGTCAATAATGTGGACTGAAGTCCAAATGGATTTCCATCTGGTAGATAATAAGCTGGTTCGGGCAGCATATTTCGTGGGCATAAAACACAATATATGAGAAAGAATTTCGTCTGGCAAATTGCTGATCCGATCTTTTTCTTTAGAATCACTGAGTTTTGAGGATTGATCCATCGTTAAAGCCACTGGCAAGTGAATCGAAAAAACCAGAGTGAAGATTTCGCTAGGGTTTCATTGATTTAGCTAAAAATTATTGCAGAAAAATGAATAGTAAAAATAACAAAATAAAATTAAAAATACAACAATGGGAAATATGAACTGCACAAATTTCGCTGCCAAAAAATTAAAAATCTCGACTCCGTAAAGTTAAAAAAAGAGGGATAAACCTTGCAGCACTCTGTTTGTTCAAATATAATATGTAGATATGTAGTTATAAAAAGTTTATTCAATCAAAAAAGCAAAAACCTGGTGAGTAGAGGAAGTTCTCCAGCAAAAAGGATCGCCAGTCTTGCAATCAATAGTTGGACCGTCATCAATAGCAGGGTGAAATAGTTACATGTTAAACCCTATAAGAGTAATTTTGATATTTTAAAAAAGTTTCATTAAGTATTTTTTTTTTAAAATTACCAAATCTTATTATTTTTTATAAGAAACAAAACACAGTGCTAATAACAGGTTTTTTTTTTACTATTTTTTTGTCATTTCTCACCTACTTAATCATTCAAATAATAACCTTTCAAACGGAGGATTGGTTTGGAAATAGAATATTTTAATAGTAACTTTTTGATTTTTTAATTAAAATATGAAATGAAAAAATAATTTATGTTTGGAATGATTTATAAATTTTTACAAAAAAAAAAATTCAAAAAATAAAGAGAGAATGAAATCTTTGAATTTTTTGTATAAATTTTTTTGTCCTTTTTTTAATAACTTTTTAATTATTATAGAGAGTTTTCAAACTTACTTAAAGTGTAAAAAAATTAAGGGTAAATTACATTGACACCACTGGGGTTTGGTTTAATCACATCTCCACTTGACGTTATAGAAATTATATTTCTATTCTTGTTATTAATAATCTCATTTCACAAAATTCCCTACTTATATAAAAAGTAATAACTCTCGATAGAAAAATAGAAAAAAAATTACATTGAAAAAAAACAAAGGAAAGTAAAGAAGGGAAAAAGAAAAAAAAAAGAGCACATGAATTCTATTTCTTTTTTATACAAACATTAATTTTGTCTAAATAATTACAATAATAGGAGAGTCAGTGTAATTTTCCAAACATCAGGAGGTGATAAATATTAAATCCAAATCTCAGAAGGTGTAAGCGTAATTTATTGAAAAATTAAACTAAAATCCCAAATAAATAAAGTAAGCACAATCCAAAAGAAAACCCTCCACTATTCTTGTTTCTTTAAATGAATTTCAACAATCAAAACTCTAACTTTAACAACCATTGTATGTTGAATTGTGAATATGAAAAACAAGTTGAGAGCATAGTTGTCAAATCGGTATTCGTATCGTGAATCGAAATGGCGTCATACCGAATCGCGAATCGAATCAAATCGTGAATTATAAAGATTCGGTTACTTTTTCTAAATTACGTAAAAACATATATCTACATATTTAGATATTAAATATATCTTATGAATATGAAATATTTAGATTTAAATCAATGAAAATATTATTTTCAATGATCATCACGTAGTTTAATAGTTAAGAAGTTAACAAAGGTTCTTATTTAAGATCATCATCTTACCTTTTTCTTTTTTAGACATTTCTTATCAACCATTCTTAATAAATATAATAACCACATAGACAAACTATCAATTTCCAAAGTAATAATAATTAACGACGATTTTGATATTTGGACAATAAGCATATATACTTTTCCAAGTAATACTGAGCAAATCATAATTATTTAGAATTTTTATTTTAAAGCCTAAAATATTTTAAAAGATATAATTGACCTCACACATGTAATATTCAATTTAATAAAATAGCAATAGATAATTCTTTTAATCTTAAACATCTTTAGAAGATATATTATGATTTTTTAAAGGAGAAAAAAATGAGAAGTAAGGTTAAAAATATGTTGGGCCTGACTAAATCTGGTTGGATCCTATTAAACACTTCATGATCGCTAAAATAACAAAAAATCATGTGTATATGTTGGTTATTTTGGTACTAAACGCTATTAAAAGTTGTATTATGTCATTTTCACTAAAAAGATGGAGAAGAAAAGAGTAGAAAATATGTCAGACACAACAATTTCAAAAATTGCATGAATTGTAAAAAGTGAATCGAATCATGAATCGATTGTAAATAGTGCGATTCACTAGAGATTCACTTCTAAAATAGATTCACCTATAGATTCGTATCGATTTTTCAAAAATTGCGAATCGAATCCTGAATCGAATCTCGAATTGTAAAATTCTGATAACAAAGGTTAAGAGAGAGAAAGAGAGAGAGAGAGAGAGAGAGAGAGATTTTACATTTGGGTCTATCTATTGGGAGTAGGAACTTAGAATATTTCCCCGAGGCCGGTGCCATTGACAACGATCACACGAAAAATGGCAGATTCCAATAATGAGCGAGGGATAGTTCTAGAGTGAGAGATAAGTGCAAGATAGTTACTCCATATTGATTGGGTCTTTAGAGACTTTGTTTTTGTTTTTTGGTTTTTATTTTTTTGTTTTTAGTTTTTAGTTTTTTTATTTTTTTTATTTTTTTTTAGAGGATAATCAATATGCTGATTTTGTTTATATTATTTTAGAAATTTCCCTTCTAATGGTTGAAGGACACTAACAATTTTTAGTGTATAAAGTCCTTCACAATAGTCAATTTTTATCTTTCCTGTTATCATATCTATGATTGCTGTGTGCTTCGACACTATCACTTGTAAGAAGTCCCGATGAATGTTTTTGCTGAACTAACTCATAAGCATGAATCAATCATTGTGCACGTCTCACACATAAATTTCATTCTCTTTAGATAATTCAAAAAATCGACAAGTGGGTTGGTTTTATCTCTATATCATGTTTCATGAGTGCTCTAGAGTCATCCTTAAACTCATAGGAAGCGGTTCCACCTTATAGCGTCTCTGGTTTAGACCCTACCGATGGTATGTTTTGGATTCGGGTTTCATTGTCTTGTATAGTTATTCATGTCTTGTTTCCCTTCTTACCTCTTTGAGTTTGGCTTTTGGATTGTGTTGGTTGTGTTAGGAATAGGTTGGTACCTTATTTTTCATATTGTTGTTGCCCAGAATTTTGCTCTTATGCTCGAGTGTAACTTCTTGCACTCAAGCAGTTTTTGTGAACTCTCAATACTTTTGCACGTCTACAAAACTACTAGGAATTGGTATTTTTCGCTCGAGCTAAGCTTCTTGCACTTGAGCAGTCTAGGGCTCGAGCGGCCCTTATTGTGCTTGAGTGTTTGCCTTCTATTTGTAAAACGACTAGGAGTTTGTATTTCACGCTCGAGCGATAAGTTCTTGTGCTCAAGCTGTCACATCTTTTATGCCTTACGCTCGAGCGTCACTTCTTGTGCTCGAGCGGTCTGCACGTATATTAGTTCGTAAAAGTCACTTTTTACATCACTTTTTCGTTTCTCTCTCTTTCTAAACTTTTTAAAAACCCTAGATCTACACTCTATCTCTCTAAAACTCACATTCTCTCTTCTAAAACACCTAGATCCATTGATTTCTCTACCCTACTCCCTTGGAGAAAAAGGTAGAGCTCACTTAGAGCTTCATTTTCATCCGAACAAAGTTGGGTTTCGGTGTCGTTGAAGTTTCTTCACTCTCTCCTTGGTCTCCTAGCTTCCAGGTAGGGATCCTTCACACTCTTGTATGAGTTTTACCTTAGTTATTTTCTATTTCAAATGATTATGGTGGTTTTGGGGGTTTTTGTCAAAAACCTAGGGTTTGGAATTAAAATGTAAAAGAGAGGTTTTCAAATGGTTTCTTGAAAATTGTTTTGGTTATGAAATTGAAATTGATATATGTTGAAATGAGGTATTTCCTATATTGAAATTGATTTTCAAAGAGAAATGGATTTTGCCCTGAAATGTGAATGTTTGAGATTATAAAGAGAAAATGGAATTGATGTTGAGAATTATGAAATTGAAGTAATGTTGATGATGATGGTAGAGTTTGGTATGTATTATCACTTCCATTTTGAGATTTTGGAAAAGTGTATCTTTAATGAAATTTATTATTCTGTTTAGAAATATTTGTTTTGGGCTATAGGAGGAGGATAGTTATGAGTGTTGTAGAAATTTCATGAGAATTAGGTGAATTAAAACTAATTTCCCATTCATGTGCATTGAACATCATTGCTCATTTAATACATTGAAAATGTATATGATTTTGGGAAAAAAAAGGTGAACGTGGGAAAGAGGTGTGTATCACCAAATTAAGTTGGCCTGTCTGTCCAGGGTGAAAGTCCCAAAAAATGCGCGTATACATGGGTGCCGGTTCCCGCAGACGAAATATCCGTAAAATGGGAATAGTAGTACTCCTATAGGCTACATTTACATTGGTCCCGTTTGACAGTTTTCCGTAGACGAAATTTCGTGAAAGGTGGTGCTGGTTTGAGATTTCCCCCTATCTTTCTATTGTAAAGGACATGATTTGAGAATTGTGATATAAACCTAACATAGCATGGCTTTTGAAAAATGATATAAATGTTTTGGCACTAGCATTGCACATGCATAAAACCTTAAAGTTTTGTTAAGATTTATACATTGTGTTATGGTGTTTCTACTAGGTTTTGGCTCACCCTATGTGGGAAAAACCATTTTCAGGTGCTGGTGATATGCCTTCACCAAGGACTTAGTTTGGGAGGACTTGTGGAGCTGAAGGCTCATTGTTGTTTATTTTGTATTTAATTTTGTACAAACCTAGGACTTTATCTGTATTGAGCTTAAGACTCACTTTTGATGTACCCAAGCATGGATTTAAAAAGATGTAAGCCTTTAAGGCATATGATTATCTATTTAGTTTTCATTTCTTTTCATTATCTTGTAACACATGAAATAGATTCAGGATGTACTGTTTATGAACATATATCGCATGCGTTACCTTTTGTATATCAAACTTTGATTAATGAAAGCTTATTATTTCATTTGTGCTGCTATTTATTGGATGTTATGAGATGGACATCTCGTATTTATTTCGGGGTGTTACAACTTGGTATCAGAGCGTACCGGGTTTGAATACTTTGGGTATGTGGGAAGTGGTTATTACCACAATAGATTTGTCTTGCTCAATAAAGACATTTGTATTTATGGTATGCTATGTGATAACATGCTTTTGTGATTATACGAGTATGAGATTAATTTCTAGGATATTTATTGGGTCTACAGGTTTCTAGAAGTTCCATTAAAAGAGCACCCGATCATTGCTATTTCTAATTGGAACTCTAGCAAAGCCGTGGGGCGATCATTATCCTGGAAGGAAATTTGTATGTGACTATGTGCTTATGTGGAGTAAATTACTGTTGTCCACCGCATTATGACGCGA